CTGGTGGTCGACGCGGGAGGCGGGGGGAGGGCGGGTGAAGCCACTCAGGCGGACATCCTCAGGGCCAGACAGAAAACTAGGGAGGCCATTCTGGTGGATGGCCTCGGGACCAGGCAGGAAGCTGAGGGGTCCACCCAAGGGGCGACAGGAAGTCGAGAAAATCATTCTGATGGGTGGCCCTGGTGCCAATCAAGGAGCAGAAGAGGTCAGTCAGGAGAATGGCCTTGATGCAGAGCAGAAGGACGAGGCTGTTTGGGAAGATGACCTCGAAGCCAAACTGGAAACTGAGGTCACTCGGGAGCACAACCTAGCCACCGGTCAAGAAGCAAATGAGGCCATTTGGGAAGACGGCCCAGACACCAGGCGAGGACCTGGGAAGACCGTTCAGGAGGACGGCCTCAGTACCAGGTGAGGAGAACCGTGTACTGACGTTGTCTGGAGACAGTGTACCAATGTCCTCGGGAGAAAACCAGGCAGGAATGAAAACACAGGTTAACGGAACTAATGCCAAACCAGAGACTACAATTCAAGCCAGTAGGTTAAACTGAACAGAGTATCTCGAGTAAACATTGGGAGTATCGTTAATGGACCAGCGAGTTGCTTAGGGAAAGGAGGTGGTATATATGGCTGAAGACCGGGGGATGATTAGCAACAGGTGAAAACAATGAATGTTGATTGGGAACTGTAGAAAAACTGGGACAGGTGAGGTGGAGCAGAGGAGGAAACAAAACCAAAATAAAAGCACAAAAACAGAAAGTGAAGCCAAATCATAACAGTCTAATAGTCACATACTCCAGGTCTGGGAAGCAGTGACTGCTAGTAGACTTGGTGTTAGTGAACCAGCTGTTATTCACATAAATGCATAACCCCCCTCCCCTGTTCTTACTGGAGTTCTTGGTCCTGTCATGCCAGTGTGCTGTGTGGCCTGCTAGTTCAATAGCTGTGTCTGGAATGGATGAGGGATCTTGCGCTGGTAAGAAAGACAATGGGAAGCGACAGTTTGTGTGGCTGCCTCCATAGGCACTTTAGCATGCATAAATAAAACTTTAGATAATATTTACACTTGTGAAGTATGGGGAAACTGTGAGCCTCCCTGGCTGGGGCAACAACTAAAAGTCAAACTGGAGGGTGAATCTGTACCAGCATGAGGCAGACAGCTAAAAAGTGCTGAGGGGGTAGAGCATTTTTTAACGTGCTGAGGACTGCTAGCTGCAGAGGATATGATGTTTGACTGCTTTTTAGCATCTCTCATTCATGAAAAAAACTACTGTAAGGAAGCTGCTCAGTTGATTTGAGGATCTGACGATATTAATACCTTTCAGAGTGCTTTGACCAGGGACACTTAGAAATTTAATAGGAAAGTTTGTCACTTTTTCAACATATTGTGGGACACAAAACAACACACTTCCTGTCCCAGGTTTCCTCCCTACCTTTACTGTAGACAGCCTTGGCTGGTCAGGGCATCCTGGTTTTGCATCTCTCTGGCTCATCTTCTCTCTGTGTTTTTGTATATTGTTCTCACTGTGCTGCACCTCTCTGCTGCAGCAGAAAAGCATCTCTGTAATGTGATGGTCAGAATAGAGGAGTCTTTGTTTTCTTTTTTCAGGGAGGCTGATACAATAGTTGGTCTTTAGGAAGCTCGGGGCTCTGAAACTAAGAGCTCAGTGCACCATTGAACCCACTGACAAGGGTGGTGTAAAGTGGAAGATGTGCCAGGCTGCAGCAAAACATCAAGTTACAGTTCACAGTCAACCTGTGACATGTAGTCCTAATGAAAATGACAGTACAGTATGATGCGTCAGTCAGAGATTGAAGAATTGGCTTAAGAGGTCCAGGCTCTTGCTCACAGGCATTTTACTGGGGCTTCAGTTTTGTAGTCAAAGATAAGGAAAATTCAAACCTGTGATTTTGTTAATCTTTAGTATACTTACCATCAGCTCTGAAAAATGTCAGTTTTTACATGAAGAAAAGGAAAATAAGTTTGTGCTTAATTAACTGCATTAGTTTTAGCTGTACCTGTAACATATAAACTGCTATTTAAGTATACATAAAAGTGTAAAACTCCCAATAAATATCACAAAAACAAACAGCTCATGACTAAAGCTATTTAAAAAAAAAGACATTTTAAGATGAGATTTAAAAGAGCGACAGTGTCTGCCAATCTACTACTCGGTGGAAGGCTTTCCAGTGCAGAGGAGGCAGTACAGTTGAGGCTCAATCTGCCCTTTGTTTTTGACCATCAACTATATAAAATACAGAGGCTGTGACAGCTCCCAGAAGTGTTAAGACTGAAGACTGTTAAGAGTGTGCCCACAGATGTAGGTTGGACCATGCATATGTTCATCAATATTATAGGATTCACTAATATTTGAAAACTCAATTGTAGCACAATTGTCATCAAAATGAAAGTTTAAATCACCAGCAATCATGTTATGCTTACGAACAACAGACCAAAATTTAGAAATAAACACAGGATTAAAATTTGGAGGCTGCTAGATAATACAGAGAACTGGAAAATGAATAGCTGTGGAGGATTTTTTTGAGGAGCTTTGGTACTTTGGATAGTTTGGATTGGAGCTGTGCCACCAGAGAACAGTTACTTAGTGACTGATGTTGTGTGCTGTACTACTGGTGATTATGATACAAGTCCTAGTCAAGATGGTGTAAAACAATACTGTCTGTTAAAAGGATCACACACAGGCTACTGGGATGAAGGCCATCCTTATTTGGAAAAAAGAATGTTTTCAGTAAAAGCAATGTTCTTTGCTGGACAAGCTGACTAGGCTCCACACCTCTTTCAAGACTGAGTCAGTGGAAGTATGCTAATCTATTGGGGCCACTAGTGAAGATCACTAATGTCAGTAATGTCCAGTGCTTGAAGCAAGCTGGTATGCCATACATTTCAGTCTTTAATGTACCAGGACTTTTTCTTGCATAACGGCACTTCTGACAAGCTGCTGGTACACTCTTCTGCCCTCTCCATGGACTCTTTTGAGATTCACTGGGTCTCACCTGGATAGTGGATGAGAGCAGACCACAGGGGTAGGTTTTTTTTTTTTTTGTAACCAATTTCTAACCTGAAAACAATAAACGTCTGCCACCCTGTATTATCTTTTCTGGTCCTTCACTTCTCTCCCAAGACACACTTGGCTGATTAAGTCTTTGCAGTAGGCTACTTGAAGTTTTCAAAGTATGCAACTGATCAACTTTACTTTGAACAGTGTACTTTGAATGACGGCAACATTCATGCCCCAAAGAAGCATCTAATACAATATCACATAGCCCTAAAGTGGACCACACCATTTCCACTTTCTAACATGATTCATCTCATAAAAGTAACACAAAAATGTTATGTGCAGACTATCTATTTTTCCTTCTGTTAAGTTTGATTCTATTTCTTGATAATAGGGGTGGCTGTGGCTCACCACCCCTTGATAATAGGGGTGGCTGTGGCTCACAAGGTAGGGCAGTCGTCTCCTGACCAGCCAATTGGTGGTTCAACTCCCCGTCTCCCCGCATGCTTAAGCACATAACTCCGACTTGCTCCCGGTGGCTTGACTAGCGCCGGTGTGTGAATGGTCTATCATCTCCTGTAAAGCGCTTTGGCCAGTGTAACACACTGTGGAAAAATGCACTATATGAATACAGTCCATTTACCAATATTTTAATGGCATGTGTGTATTAAGGATGCAGTGACATTACCGATATGCAAATTGGTGTGTGACATCATCTAGCAACTTTTCCAGCAGGATTTAGCTACTGTACTTTCAATTCAAATTAGCTGGAAACAATGTTAGGCACCTGCTTCTGAGCAGGACCAGATATCATGCTTTTTGTCACCGTTTCAGGTCCAGCACAGTCCATTTCTGAGACGATCACAAACCAGCCTGACCTTTCTATGACAGTTCAATTTTGAAGTCATGTCCCGAGGCCATCAGTCTGTTTATCATACGTCCGTCAACACTTACTCTGCTATCTGTCTCTGGACCAGACAGTCATGACATTTGGTATCCTTATTAATGATCCTCACATGACTTGAATTACAATACACTTTTGTGTGTGTGGTAACAGGTCAGCCTGGGCAGCGTGTTACAGGGAGCACTGTGGGTAATGTAGTGCACTGGGTGAACGTGGCTCTGGGGGAGCGTGGAGATAGACTGACTCGTGCTGAGGACAAAACTTTGGAGCTGATGCACAAAACTCAGCAGTTTGCAGATACTGCTCACAAGGTGACACACATACAACCATTTCTATAATAAATCACTGATAATATACGGTGTGTATTAACAATAATACAGTTCATATTTGAACAGGTATTTGTTTTCTGTTATAGCAAACATTTCTGAAGTTGTTTTATTTCCCATACAGCTGGCCCTGAAGTATTCAAAGTAGAGTCTTTTGGAGAATGAGGATGGATTCTTAAAGATACTAAATATGAATCCTGTAACATGGATGCTAACACTGTCTGATGCACTCTGGGCCCAGCAGATGCAGCTAACTCCTCCATGAAAGCTTGTTTGTGAGAAGACAACTGGAGAAGAGTGACTCTCAGGCTCTGGACCATCACTAAAGTGCTTGTTTTATAATTGAGTACAGTAACGAGAACTAAATGTGATTTAAGTTTTTGGTTTTCCTGTTGGAGACACCCCTGTCATAAGACCTGAGGATAATCTGCACTGTGTTCAGTTTTACCTGTTGTCAGATGAATCTCCTGTACTTTATCAAAAAACAAAAGCAAGGTTTAAGTTTTTAAACTTTTTGGTATAAGACATTTATGTTTAAACCACTGAAGACCTTCCAGTGCCAGACAGAATTGGTTTTATCAAGCACCTAACCAACAATATTTGAAATAATACCTGTAATGCCTTTAAAATGAGTTATAGGTAGTATTGTTGAGTGAGAGGTATTGTATTTTTATTTATTTTTTGTAATGTATGTAGACATTTCATTGGATTTAATTGCACTAAATGTTTGATTTGACATTACAATTTATTATTAAGATAAGATAAAATGTTTATTGGTCCCACAACAAGGAAATTTATATTGCTACAGCAACAAAGGGACAGAAACATGCACTCAGTGTTAATACATTGTTACTTTTTGATTCTTATCAGTATAAATATAAATGATTGCAGCTATAATACTAAATTATAAAAAGTAAGATATATTGCACTCTGGTATGTTGTGTATTCACAGTTTTTATTACCACTTGTTGCTATCATTCTGTGTTCCTAATGTATGTCTATGCAGTGCACAGTGCAATGTCATATTGTCTTATGTTGTTCTCTATGTTCAGATAGTTATCAAACTGTCAGTTTAAATTTTGTCTGTTGTATTGTCCTCTGGTCCATGTATGTAATCACTGTTTGAGGTTTCTGTTGGAGTTCTGTCTTTCAGAGCTGTGAAGGTGGGGCAGGTGGTTCAGGTAAGTTAGCATGTTTTTCATTAAAAGAGGTTCTACAGTGAGCAGTGTCAGTGAAGCTGGTATGTGTAGAAAAGTCAGGGTTACTTTAGAAGGTTGAAATGTTGATGTTGTTCAAACCCTTCATTTTTGCATTTCTTTTAGTGCTTTGCCTTTATGCCTAGTTTAAAGAGAAAATGTATTGTCCATTGCTTTTGGTGACAGTTTACCATATGTGATGTAAATGTATCTGATGTATTAACCTACTGACAGTATTCCCATGCCTTTCTTTGACCCAATTTAAAAAGACTGGGCCTGTATATTATATGGAACTCTGTTTTTTCACACTCATCCTGGATAGTGGATGTTCAGCTTTTGACCACCAGATGGTGATCAAACAGCAAAAAAAAAAAAAAAAAAATCTAGCACAATACAGTTGAAATATAAGCTATTACATTTCATATGGATTTATTAATATGAAACTTAATACATTCAGATTGATGATTCACTATTATAAAATATCAATTTTATATTGATTCAGGCTATAAAACTGCAGTTTAAAATAGGACTTTGATCTAGCAAATAAGGACATTTTATGTCAGGCTTAAGTTGGCACAAGCAATGAAGTGACATAAGTTGGCACAAGCAATGAAGTCAGGCTAAATAAGAAGTGGAGTAACATTATTTCTGTTATTAAAAATGGAGACCTAACCATGTAATTTTAATGATTTTTTAAATGTTATTTTATTGAACTTTATTTTTTACTATAATATTGCAATTAAAGTTAAATAGCTGAC